AACACAAAGCCCCCCACCATGAAACACCACCCCAAACACAAAGCCCCCCACCATGAAACACCACCCCAAAGCCCCCCCCCCACGAAATACAACACAAAACCCCCCCCCCCCCACAATCCCAACCCCCAAACCCCCCCCCCCCCCAAGGGGACATGATCTAGTTACTCTACTGTTTTTATAACAATTACATTACTAGTTTATCAAGAGTATTCGCATTCCCAAATGTGGCGCCCCATCTCAAACCCACCTCACACCAACAGGACGATCTCTTAATCTATTTCCTATGTGTCACGGACGGTCTATATTTAAAGACAACCGCCCAAAGCCGGTTTTATGTGTATATATATATAGTGAATGAAATTCATGAAGGAGATGAACATAACCAGACGCTTTATTGTACTTGACTTAGTCGCCAACCAGAATGTTCTGTGTCATAAGATCTCCCCTGGAACACGATTGTGCAATTAAAAGCTTGTTTAAGTGAACCGTTGCCTAGCAACCATCACTTAAAACCCGTTGAATTGATAAAAAAAAAAAAAAAAAGAAGAAAAAACATTAAATTGCAAAAACCGTCAACTAATTGGTGCCAAGAAAAAACAAAAGAAAACCTCAACAGCATAACGAACGGATGTCGCCAACCAGAATGTTCTGTGGCATAAGATCTCCCCTGGAACACGATTGTGCAAATAAAAGCTTGTTTAAGTGAACCGTTGCCTAGCAAACATCAATTAAAACCCGTTGAATTGATAAAAAAAAAAAAAAAAGAAGAAACAACATTAAATGGCAAAAACCGTCAGCTAATTGGTGCCAAGAAAAAACAAAAGAAAACCTCAACAGAATAACGAACGGAGGTTTTTCTTCCAATTTTTGTGGTTTTTGCTAACGTCTTTATTTAGATTTCTAAAGGCCAAGTTTCATCGTCAGCTTCCATTACTCCGCAACCATTTCGTGAGTTCGTTATCCGTGAAGAAATGGCGCATTAGCCCGTTTGAGTTCAAGGTTTCTTGGTTAGTGCTTTCTCTTAAAAAAATTTAAAAAAAATAGATGTGTTTGAGAGACAAAAACCCACAAAGTTGTCAGAAAATGTCCACATTAGTATCTACATAAATGTCTTCATAAATGTTTACATACATCGAATAGTCCCAGTGTTGTTGACTGTTCTTCGCCTGATCATAAATTGAACTATTTTTTTAACACAATTATTTATATTTCAATACTGATGTTTAAAAAAAAAACCCAAACTTTTCCTATTATTCATCGTGGCCAAATTTGTACACATTCTACCAATTTATTATACATGAATCAATCAACTCTGTGCCAAAAATTTTGATCTTATATTTAACACATTTTTTTGTAATTGCTGTAAAACGAATGCTGTTAATTGTTTTGTTGAAACTTTGTTGGTGAAATTCATGTTGCCAAAATAAAGTGCTTTGAATCTGAACACGTTCGCCTCCTTCCATGTTTATCTGTACACAATTGCAGGCATGGCGTACACAGTAATCGAGAGATAGAGTGTTTTTTTTTGGTTTTTTTTCGTGTGTGGAAATTTATAATTATTTATTTAAACCGTATAACATACAAGATAAACTATATAACTATACATACAAGTCAACATGTATAAGTATGCATAGAAGAAAAATATATCTTATACATACAAGTAAAACTATAGAAACAAAACATACATACAAAACATAAACTATACATACAAAACCAATAATATTAATGTTACATGCAAGATCAAGAATATAAACTATACATACAAAACAAAACTATACATACAAGAACAACTAAACATGCAAGACAAATCATATAGCTATTTATACATGACAAACCATATAGCCATA